GCATCGCCGACCAAAATGTCAACCAAAAGGAAGCAGTTCAAACCGAAAGCATTCAAAGGTAAAATTGCTGCAATGCTCTTTGAAGGCCCTGTTGTTGTTTATGATGTTTTGTGCCAGTGACAAACATCTGCAAAATAGCCGTAAGTGTTCGCCGGGGTTGAACTGAGCCACGTTTGGCATGATGTCGCCAGTAACTCGGCCAGGATACCACTTCATCGTTATTATTCAGAATTACTGTAAATGACCGAACCCGAGTCATACTCTAATAAAAAAGCATGTGGTGCATTTTAAAACAGAACAACTCGTGAAAACGATTGAAATGAGAATGATAAATTTAAACAGAAATGTTTCAATCCATTAGTTCGTGTACATTCTTATTTAATACCACAACTGGACTTCGTCAGTATGACGACGGTGATAATAATAAGTGTATTTAACAGAAAGGAAATTGGATGAAGAAAAGTTAAAAATAAAAGTTAAAGTATGCATCATACAGTATTTGGTATCTGAGAAACCCCTTAATGTTGTTAATAATAATACTGCTACTGATAATAATAATAAACTAATATTGGTAAAAATGACAGTAATTATCTTACCTTTCCCTATTTCTTCAGTTTTATTGATAATAAGGTTGTCAGTAACACCAGGATGTGTTTGGTAGAGTTAATTTTCAAGAACGTAAGCTAGCAGGAGTACTTTTGCAGAGGATGAAGTGATAGAGAACTGCAGTTCAGATTCCGGTGAGGAAACCGATTTGAATTCGAAGAGAATGTTCGTCTCTTCACTTATTTATTGTGTGCTTGTAAAATTTGCTTCCTAATTTGCTTCCTTTTATGACTCTGAGCTTCTCCCCAGGAACTTATTGTCTTGTAAAGTTGTATACGATTGTAAACGCGCTTCTTACATACCATCGTATCGGACGAAGAGAGATTTGCTAGCAGCTCGAAGAATTACATAAGCCGCGAGTGTACTACTCCTGGAAAACAGAAAGCATGGAAGCCACTCTATCTTCTCCTCTAACATCGTTCTTTATATATTCTTCTCGGGAAAAACGTCAGCCATATTTGGTCTTACTTGAAACTTAAGCGCATGTGGATGCTGGATCTAAAATTTTCTATTTCGCACATGGATACATAACACTTTTCTTAAATTTCACCTAATTAGTGATTTCGCTGCCAAAATTTCACGTGCTTGTTAGTGTGATGTAGACCCCAGTGAGAGCTGAATTTGAAATATTTCAAACAATATTTGAGTTGCATGTAACCAATATTTTGAGTTTTAAATAACCTCGTAAAATTTCAGTCTAATTTTTTTGGCTCCTGAGTTGGTAATTTTCTTCCATTAATTTTCACGTGTCCGTGCGTGAGGCGTAGGCGTACATGGAAGTCGAATTTAAATTTATGGCGCCACACGTGAGGAAAGGACATTCTCTTAAAATTTCAACTTTCTGGTTCATTTGGTTCCCGAATTGAAATTCCGGGACAAAATGCACACACACACACACCCACTCACATAGGCACACACGCATCCATACACACACATGCACATAATAGGTATGTCCTGTGCATACTTATGCAGATCCGTACCACTGCATTTTTACGTGATATACAGCAGCGCAGAAAAGTAACCAATGAAAAGCAAAAGTGGTTACAACATTCTGCTGTTTGAAGACAGGTGCTACGTATTGAAGGACTGTCAGTGGCAAATTATGGGGCATAGCCAGAATGCTGAGCATGCCAGGCGAGTAGTAGTGCCTCTCACGTGGTGCATCCCAAACTTACTTTCTTGCACATGACATTTAGATTGTTCCCTCTCTAATATTCCAGAGGGGCCGAACCAGTGCGAGACTTGGAGGAAATTTAAGCAGCAGCTTAAACTCCATTTTCTCTCCCCTTCTCCCCGTTGTCAGCTGGGATCACAACATGACCACCGATGAAAGTCAGTTTGTTTGGCGAGATACGTTGCTGGCTCTGCTAGGAGTCCTCCAGAGAATGATACATGTGTGCAGCAGTTCGACCACTCGGCCTTTCTTTTACGTTTATATTGTAAAAGAACGACTTAGAGGACGGTGGCTCAGACTCAAAACATTAGCAGAACATGGAAACAGCGAAGGGTGAAGAGGGTTCCAAACTTACTGTCGCGATGATTTCAGTATTTATGCCTCGTCTTAGTAATAGAGAATAATAAGCAAGATGTAAGAATGATAGGTAAAAAAGTAAATCTGGAATTCACTTTGATACACTTCGTTTTGGGGCTTTGCAACTAATAACAGTAGCTGCAGCAGCTCGATTCTGTGATAAAAAAGTGATGTGGAGTGACCTCCTCTTATTAGACGAGGGTTTCATCAAACCCAGTACCAACGCGTAGGGCGATGTTCTGACTTATTACCGCATTTACCTTTTATTTGTAGCAAGCAGGAGGAGTCCAATGGTGTGCTGGAAGCTGAAGATGGACGTGCAGTTTCTCGTGCGGAGCTTCCATGCCCAGAGCTTGTGGCGCAAGCCGTCAAGATTGTGTGCTGCTTCTGCAGTGCAGCATTTTCTGATGTGACTTCTCTACAGAATCACACACTGCAGAATCACCAGGTGAAATGGTGTTGTTTGAACTTTCGAGATCCCTTCCGAAGAAATGATTGTATGGACGACTAATATTAAATTAAAACATGTGACCCGGGCCCGAGGGTTTTTTATAGCTTCACCAGAGCATCCCAAGAGCAGGACAGACAGAGCGAGTTCTCGCTCTGAAACGTCCAGATGGTCTCAGTAACTTTAGCCAGAATAATGCAGATGAAACCCACTCTGGTGCAGCGAAGTAATTGTCGCGAGCTTCGATCTCTCTAAGCTGTTGGAAAAAATGTTTAAAAATGCCTTTGTTTATTTATGTATTTTAGCAACCCCATAACTTCTGCAATGACGAGCCCCCGTTTTGGTGCTGAATAAGAAAATTTGTACGATTTGATGGGCCGAAACAATCCTGTTCGAGTGTTAAAAATAGTAATTTTATAGTTTTTTTTCCCAGTGTTCATTGCCGATCCATAGGACACTATGCAACTTGCAGTTTGTTGAAATTGGATGAGAAGCCTAAAATTTAGCGACAA